ATTATATATAATTATTTTATTTATATAAAATAATAAATACATAAATTAATTTAAGTATGCATGTAAAAATCATTTAATTATCTTAATTTAAATTATTCTTTGTTATTTTAATTATCTTAATTAATATTCTATATTTTACTTTTAGTATTAAACTAACTAGAGTTGTTAATAAAAAAAACACTAAAAACTTAAGGATCTAAAAATGATAAAAAAATTTATGGAAACTAAAATAATTTTGATTCTTTTATTAATTTGATATTAATTGATCTTTTCATTAATTTGATCTAAAAATTTTCGAAATTTTGGTCCTTTCATTAATTTGATATCAATTGATCGTAAAATTTTAATATTATTGAGTGATCTATTACTATTTAAGTGACGTGATATTTAGTAATATGACATATATGGATAAATATTAAAAGATAACTTATAAAAAAATTATTTATATTTATTTTAATGAGTTTTTTATATTTATTTTATTAATGAATCTTATTTACATGTATTTTTTAAAGTTTTTTTCATCTTCAAATGTCATGTCACTAAATGTTACATCACTTATTTATAAGCAAATGCTAAAATCAAAAATCAGTGATTCAGTCAATACAAACCTCACATTGTAATGGATATGTCATCAACATGTAAAGATATCCAATTTAGCCCAATCGATTTTTCAGTCGAACCAATGGTACACTCAAAAGTCTAAGTAAAATATCACTTAAGTATAAGTAATGCTAAAATTGGGAATTGGTACCCAGCTAATCCGAGTCTCACATTAAACTAGATATGTCATTAACTCATAAAGGCTTGATTTGGCTTAATCGATTTTTTGGTTGAATCAATGAATTGATGAGTTTTTGGTCAAATCAATAGTATACTCAAAAGTTTAAGTAAAATATGTATAAAAGTGTTAAAGGTGAAATTTAAATACAAACCATTTTTATGTATGTGCAAATGCCTTACCACTAAGGCAAATGATATTTTTTATAATCATATGTAACAATAATATATATAGTGACCACTAAACCTACATACTTTATTATTATATAATTCACTTAAAAAAATTATATAACATATTTTTAATTTAAAATTATATATTGGTTTATGTAGTTCAAGAAACCTATAAATTAGTTATTCTATCATTATTATTATTATTATTATTATTATTATTATTATATTAATTATAATTTATTTTATAAATTTCTTTAAGACATGATATAAATTTTATTAAAATTTATAGATATAAAATATATGACATAAATATTTAAAAAAAAAACAAATTAATAAAGATCAAATCATGTGTTTCAATTAGTAATCTACTTATTTAACCTTTAACCCACTAACCTAGTACTGGTTTCATAACTAATCTAATTTTTAAAATATCAAATAAATGTCAATTTGATAAAAGAATTAAAATTTTATATTTTGAAAAATAGGAAATTAAATATTTTTATTTCATAATAGAAAAGCCAAAATTATAAATTAAAAAATATAAGAATTAAATATGTAATTTATTCAAATTAAAATAAAATATTATTTATAAGTTCTTAACGTTTAATATATAGATAAAATTGTAAAGTGAAGTTGATATAATATTTAAATTTAAATAAAATATAACAATATTCATTAATAATAACATGTTTA